GTGACCTTAATTTTCCGGAATTATCCGATAGGACACCAAGCGAAAACTATACTTCGGGCCTTTAAATTTATAAATTTGCTGAACTTAAACATGTCTGTAACAAATAAAATCGTAAGCCCAAGGTCTGATTTTCCTTTGTTGACGTTCAAATTAAAAAAAAAAAATTTGTAAAAAAAAAAAAAAAATCTGACCGACCGACCCAATTTTCAGATACCATGTAATGCAAAACGAAAAATTAACTTTGCGTGGCCTAAAAATTGGCCGAATGATTTTTCGGCCGATTTTGGTTAAGTTTATGATTTCGCATAATAAATTCTAAAAATTGATACGTATACGTATTTCTTACGTAATTTAGATCAAGTGACTAATACTATACTGACACGAATATCTCAGGTCAAATACAGAAACATGATGCTCTCAAAGCATCTTCGCTGGCGAATAATTGAAAAAAATTAGAAAGCTTATCATTTCGAAAATTGCACTTAGGGGACTGACAATTATTAGCTCATTATACCTCCCCTGGGATTTTTGTTAGATCTACCCAGAGTCAGTCATTTGACAATACAAAATTATACAAAAATTACATCATATGGCTTAGCTATACGCCACAGTTATACAAAAATTACGTAATGAGGCTTAGCTAGTGTGGCGCAATTTTAGTTTTTTTTCGAAGTCATGTGACTTCAGAAAATTCACTTGACTTCGGAAAATTCACTTGACTTCGGAAAATTCACTTGACTTCGGAAAATTCACTTGACTTCGGAAAATTCACTTGACTTTGGAAAATTCACTTGACTTCGGAAAATTCACTTGACTTCGAAAAATTCACTTGACTTCGGAAAATTCACTTGACTTCGGAAAAAAGTTAAAAATGGTTTTCCGAAGTCACGGAACCAGTCACTGACTTCGGAAAAAAGTTAAACGCATTTTACTCAATCCCGTAAATATATATGAAAATCACATAACAAAGACAGTTACTGCGTCTAGTTTAGCCTTATACCAGTATGATCACGTTTCATAATAATTACGATCTAAGTCAACAAAATACGAATAAAATAGAATTGGCCAGTAAATATTCATGAGCTTAATTAATTTATCGGGTGAGTGAAGTTTCTAAACAGGTCTTGTTTTAGTTACTAAAATTATATAGTTGGTTTTTCATTTGCATTACATAGATTTCGAAAATCCGGTCAATTAGATTATGACTGGGTAAAATCACTACCCATAAAAGTTTCAAAGATCATGTGATATTGTCAATATTGGAGTTCTACGACTCTAATAAATCTATATACTTTTTTTATTTATTCTTTGTAGTGTCACGATTTTTCTTTGGAAAAACTATGACTGGATAGAATATAGGTAATAGTAACACTGTGTGTTAAGAATAAGCCATGACCACAGGGATATTGTGAGGCTCATTGGTGGCGAAGGCTTAGAAGTTTAGATCTGTACCAATATTTATTTCGTCATCTTTGTTTATTTCATATCTATAGATTCTTTTTTTTATTTGTTTGTTATTGTAAGGCCCAGGGTTTGGGTCTGAAAAAGCTTAGAAGCTTAGTCGTAAAATCGGCTTAGAAGGTTTAGGTCTGGACGAGCTAAGCTCGGAATTAGAGACAACAAAGTGCCGACATGGACTAAGTGATAAAAATGTACTTGTTTCTTGTTGTAAGCCTTCTATGTATTTCGAAAGTATAAAAGAGCAGTCTTTTCGCTCTTCAAATAAAGCTTTAGATTTCATTGTCTTTAATATAGGAGTATTAAGAATTGATTTCTCGAATTGATGTTATATAAGTTATCGTTGTATTGTTTTATTTATTTTATATTTTATTCCCTTATCTTAACCGTGAAGGCACTTCACGATCGATTATACATTTTTGTTATTACTTATTACTTTATTACCTTATAAGTATCGACCCTTAATATCGACTGTACTGATTAACTATCGATATTACTAATTTATTTAATTACGCTTACATAACTTAATTTATTTACTTGATTGATACCGGTAGATATAATTAAGTGCCCCGATCTCGGATTAATTACGTAATCTCACGTGCACAAGCGATTATTATAAACGATTACATTACTATTTTATTAGTATTAGTTCTCACAAAGAACCTATAAGTTCACTATTAGAGTTAAATTGTGCTGATAGTTCTAAAAGCACTCCCAAACAATAGTAACAGTAGCTTGATTTTTTTTAAAAAAGTACTTTAAACTGTATAAATAATATAAAATTAAATTGATTTAAACAGCCAATCATCTAAAAGTCTTTCTATGACATGAACCGATATTCGCGTCAACAATTCTCGCCATACATATGATATTTTAATGCAATAAATTATAATAAATGAATGGAAATAGTGTTTGGAACAAATTTTATAAAAGTAGAAATAGTGCTCACAATTGAATCTCTTTTGAATACTATATAACATAACTTACGAAAATTTCTAAGAAGCTTATAAATTAAATATTCAGTGTAAAAGTGTTAATTTCATATATGCAAAGAATAGGCAGATGCTGTTACAACCAGAGAGAGACATAACTACACTGCCAATTTAACTCTGGGCCGTAAGCATTAAAGATAGGAAACCACGTATTTATTATTTATGCACAAGATACTAAAATATACTAATAATATATCTGATATAATCAAGTGTCTCCCCAAATAGTGTACCCAGTACACTAAGGATCCTTCCAGGATACTAGCACAAAAATCTCTAACTTACAAAAACTAACTAACCAGTGTTCGACAATCCTCTATTTATATTGTCTATTAAACTCTAATTAGCTATTATGCAAAATGTAAAATATAAGCTAATTCTATAAAATATCGTAATGATCGACAAAGTATAATACGTAGAGTAATTACTTCGATCATTACTTAATTACAAAATAAACTATTATAATGTTACACAAGCAAAGTAATCCAAACTTATTAATAGACCAAGACTCATTACGGTTGATAGACCAAATACGTTGCAAGAATTGAATATATTCAAGTACTAAACCCAGACCATCTTCTATTATAAGTTGATTCCTATTTAAATCCACCGTCTATTAAAGGTTTAATTAGCAAAATGCGCCAGACAGAAACTTGTATCAATTTTTTATAGTAAGTACAGTGTTTACGAACTTGAATAGATTATTTAAAACATTTAATTAATGCTTCCTGCTTATCTAATAGATTAAAAAATATTATTTAATGATAAATCTTTCCGAATTGGTGAATCAATAACACTCATCCGCTTAATTAACTTGGATAAAATGAAATAAGTGTATATATTGATAAATATTAATGAACCAGAATAGCTTTTTTCAGTGCTATGCACATGTAGCAATCATTTTACAAACAACTTTAGTTCATAGACAATTAATTTCTTGCTACAGCTATACCGAGTTGGGATAAGTATTTATATTAGCTTTTTATCTTATATATGAAATTTGCCAACTCAATACTAATGATCTATATTGTTTTTCTTTCAGGTGTATTGTGGTGGAGTCTCAATATGGTCTTTTTCGGTTTCTTGGTCTTTTTACCATGACTTACGATCGTGAAGACAAATCGTGACAGTATTTTTTTTCGAAATCATTGATATTTTTAGTTGTATTTTTACTATTGTATTTCGATTATTATGATTAGTAACACTATAGCTCAATCCATTATTATTATTTAATAGTGACCAAATTTATTTAAGTGATTCGTAATCTAATAAATTCTGCTACCTCACGTGTACAAGCCACTCGAATCTGTTATTATATAAGTGACTATAAATAATGATTTTATTTTTGAACTTACATTTTATTTGAATTAGTCATTATTTGTTTCACTCATTTAATCATAGATAAGATTAATGTTCTGAATAACTTTCGCTATATAGTACTCTAAAAATAAAGTGATAGTAAAATAGTATCGGCCTTAAATATTAGAATTTGATTCTAATCTTTTTGAAGTTCAATAAGAGTTTCATCTCTCACTAGTTTTAATATTCATCATATGTCATCATCGATAATAATATAGCGCTGCATTAAAAACAAAATTGAAAACTCTGCCTAATTATATTGCTTTGATTATTACGTATGGACAAAGGAACTAAAATACGTAATTAATGTAATAAGTATGAAATCGTTAATCAATAATGTTGTATAAGGAGGTATAAATAAAGATATCATATTTTACTACTTTGTTACCTATTCAAAATATCTATTCTACTTTAGTATGGCATCTTCAGTTCAATCAGAATATGACAGAACATATATCTATAAACGTCCAACGACTCAATACCAAAACTTTTGTAATGCTTTTAGTTATGACCGCATGCTAAATACAGAAAACTCTAATTATCCAAAAGCAAATCTAGTTATAGAGTGTAATGAGGAATGGAAAAAAGTTCGTCATAAGACCAAAAAAGAAATTAAAGAAATAATCGATAAATACCTGAAGAATACTATTTTAAATTCGTCACTACCTACATTAATTGATGAAATTGTCGTCGTTGATACTCTTCCCCCTAATGCTGTAGCACAGAGACGAGCTGCAAATTCTATAAATGAAGCCAACAAAAAACTTGCTGAAAGCCAACGAACGTATAATACTACGACTGATCTGGAGGTTTGAAAAAACCTGTTAGAACATATTGCAACTCTTAAACAAATGTTAAATATAAAAAATAAACAAATAATAAAATTGAAACGTCAAGCAGAGTACACACGTAAATCAGCTGAAAAAAAGGCAAAATTTTTACAGGAACAGCAAATTGTTGAAAGATATAATTCTCCTGGTAAAGTATTAAAGTTAATATATTTAGTACCTTAATACATTGTCTTTAGTACCCTTATTTGATACAAATATAACACTTTTTTAGGCCAGCTATCATTTATGTTTAAATATTCAGACTTACTTGAACACATTCATGAATGTGTTGAATTCGGTAGTGCGGATAAAAAAAGACACAAAGAAGTTATGAAAGTCAGAACAATTGATCATATTTGAGAAAATCTTGAATCTAACTATAATGAATATATGTCTCGTACTTGTTTCAATAATTATATGCTTCCACATCGATCCAATTCAATAGCAGCAAAATCGCATCACCATCCAACAAATATCAAGGTCTCTCCTATTATACGAAATGAGAGAAAAGATCATCCGGATATGCATTATTGCTTTGCATCTGTAAAAGAGGCAAAGCAATTTGCAATGAGATTCTCTACTCACTCTGTAATCATCTCTCAAGATGATAAGGCCAAGGTTCCTCTTGGTATTGCCGTTGTTGGAAAAACTTTTCAAGCTGTTGTCACGGTTTTTTTAGAAAAAAAATCGTGACTTGTAGTAACGAGAACGTGTAAGTCCGGGTTCATGAGTATGTTGT